CCCCCTACCAAACATGAGGTTGTAAAAAATGGATTAGAGATTGGACTGAATATTTTAAAAGCTCTTCTTACATCACCAAGATAAAAGTCAGGGTACAGAATGATGTTTTGCCTACCAAATATTTAGCTCATTTTTCAAAATAGCAAATGTGCAATTTTTTGGTGCAATTAAGAAATCAAAGGTTATTGTTTCAATGGTGAGATGAATTATATACATCCTTAATTTCTCTAATTTCAGAAGAGAAAGTTTTCAAAATATATCTAAAAAGCTAAGCAAAAATGTTTCAGGTAGGCATTAGATATATCAGAAAACATTTTCCTCTCAGAAATAGTTTCCTTCCCTCATTTTCTCTTTTTCTTTCTTCCTTTCTCTCTTGCAATTTTTATTTCCATCTCTCATTGCTCTATATACGTGTTCTTCCTTGTCTCTCCCTTTCTTTCTTTCTCTTTGTCTTCTTTCTCTTTTTGCCTTCCTCTCTCCCTCTCTTCCTTCTTTCTTTCCTTCTCCCTCTTTTTTTTCTTCCTTTTTTCTTTCTTTCTAACATCTTTCTTTGGATGCAAATACTTGAATATGATAAAAATTTCCTAAGGAGACATGTTTAATATCTTTCTACTTGCTACCATAGTAGCTTTAAAAAGGATATTAGCTCCTATTCTGTGTAAATAAATATTTTTAAGTGCTTTTAGAACAAGGGAGAGGGACTTGATCTATTATTTCACTGGTAAGGGAAATTTCCTCTACCAATGCAAATTGCCATCTTCTTATCCTTTGTCTCATAGTATAGAACCTTCATATAGTAAACACTTAATAAGTATTTGTTGAATTAAATTGAAGTCTGTTGAAAACATTCCCTGTTATAGCCAGACCTGTTTTCTGAACTCTTAAAAATCACTGACAGAAAACACACAGACTCAAAACTATTTTTGTGTTTAAGATCTCAATTAACACACTGATTACAATTGGCTTCAGTGTCCTAGTTCCTGAGGTTTTATCTACAAAACCTGAATAAAACAGCCCTCTAAGATTAAATGAATTCATTCATTCAACCCAAAGAAGTGTTAGAAACAAGTTTTCATTTTCAGGGTCTGATTTTTCTTATTTTCTTTCTTTTTACATTGATTCATCATGACTATTCAAAAAGAAGTGAGTGGGGGGAAACATTTAGTATGAGACCCTGAACTTTTAATGATAGTAATAGAAGGGTGGACTTATTCCCCAGGAAATCCCCATGTATAGGTATGCATGAACCACAGAATATTCCAAATGTTTCGTCAAAACTTTGACTTCATCATTCTCTTTTATTGCCTCAAACATTAAAACTATGGCAGATTGTTTTAAAAGTACTATTGAGGGTCTCCATCTCAGTGTGCCAAACTGAATAAATCCTACTTTGCCTAGACTTATTGTTTAAGTAAATTTGTATCAATGAAATAATCAAAAGCAAACCAATTATATTCTGGCATCTTTTTTATCCATCTGTTTGGATTTCACTGTCTATTAAATGGTGTTTGCATATGAGAAATTGTTCTATTGTATGCAAAGGTACTCAATTATTTAGATTATACATTTGAATAAACTGCAGTTAAAGGACTACCCTTGTAATGTAGGACAATTACATTTTCTTACATAGTTTATAGGTTATTAAACTAATATCAATTCGGCCCACACTACCAGACACTGGATTCCAACCTTTGCCTGGGAGACTTATCTTCTTTAGGGGTTCAGCCCTACCCCAACAATTAGCAGCTATTGCCAGTCATTTCAAACTATACCAAATTATGCAAATTGATCTTGGGAGAAGGGTTACATGAGCTGAAATCACATGCAAAAAATTAATTTCATTGATGAGTTTAGGCTAATGAGCATGACAGCTTATAGTATACTGTATGTAGACATCCTAATTATCTGTGGATGAAGAAATAGTGTGTCCCTGTTTTAAGGAACACTTACATAACCAGGTCTTCAGAAATAATTTAGCCCTAGTGATTCACCTCTACAAACAGGAATACCACACTGAATTTAATTGGGCACCAAAGAGCTCTGAGTAAGATTTCCTTCCATACAGAATTTAATGTTATAAATAATTTGTCTTCTCCATCCTGATCATGGGGTTAAATAATGGTAGTCACTGTGGTGTAACTGAAGAAAATTAGTTAATCAATAATCAATCATTTATTAAGTGTCTACTATGTGTCAAGTATTATGTTAGGTGCTGGGGATACAAAATTGAGTGAAGATGACCTAGCTTCTAATCCCACCTCTGATATTTACTATTTATATGACAATGGGCAACTTCTCTGAATTCAAATCCAATACTCTTTCTAGCAAATCACATTTGTGTAGAATTAGGGGGACTTCAGTCTCGAGGTGCATTGGATTTTCAGTAGGAAATTTATCAACTGGGACAAAAAAGTAATATACTTGAATTTTCTTCTCTGATTATTTACCTTACAAGGATGCTTGATCTTTAGAATAATTATATTTACGAAGAAATTTTACTTTGAAGGAAGTGGATGAGATAAAGGGGGGGTATGAAAAGATTATTATCCCTGTGTGACTAGTTTCCTGAAAGGATAAGTGAATATGAATTGGGTTAGATGGCACAAAATGACCACCTCCCTCATTGCCCCACATATCAAGTAACAAATAAATCTGTATCAAATGCTTATGTCATAAAACATTTAAGTTTCTCAATGTTCCACAGGTCATGGCTAAAGGAGTTGGTGGAAAGGGTAGGAACTTAGCAAAAGCTAATAATCTTAGCTCAAAATTATAGCCCATGTGAAAAGAAACAAAAGTATACAAGAGATGCACATTTTCCCTAAATCTATGTATGCATGGGGACATTAGTATGAAACATTGAATATATTGCCATATTTTTTCATATTTTCATTGCCATATTTTCATAGTTTTGGACTGATTGGCTTTGATGATTTTTAGACGGTATTTAAATTTTGATGATAAAAGGTATAAGGGATGCAGGAGGAAATTTAAGCAATATAAAACAAAAATATTTCAATAAAAATTATTTTTAAAACAGTATATTCTTGAATGTCTGTTATTAGTATATGACATAGCTTATTCTGTGGTTCTATTGCTTGAAATAACTATATGTGCATATATATTGCACAAGTCACACAAATCTAGCTTTTGGATTATATAGCCTCTGTTACATATAATTTTTACCTTTTTTTTAATGTAATGAGTACTTCTGATGACCTCAGTATTCTAATAACTTTGATATTGACTCTATTATCCCACACAAATGATGATAATGACAGCATGTATCATCACCTCAAAAATAAAAAATCAAACTAAAAGTAATACTCTGCACATAGTCAACACTGCAGAAATGTTTGTGAAACTGAGTTGAAGCAAAGAATTTTAGAATCTCAGAGTTAGATTAGACTTCAGGTCACATAGTCTAGCATACAAATCTCTCTGAGAACAATTTTGCTGGGATAAAATAAGTAACCAGCTCTTTAATTTCCAAGGAAAAGAAAGAATAAAAAACACAAGACTGTTCATCCAATATTTCTGTACTATAATTATGTGTATTTCTGATGAATGTTGAGTGCCCTCTGTAGAGTCAAATAATGTCACAGTGACAGGTGTGCAGTTGGTGATTTGGAATCCATAATGCATGGACCCAAAGGTGCACCTGTGCATCTCAGACAGCCTAACCTTGCTTATCAAAAATGTTTTGGGACACCAAAACATTTAGGTAAACAAGGGTTTGAGTAATCAAGGGAGTTAACAGGTAATTGATTCATGTCAGGAGACATAACCTAGATATACAGATATGAGACAGCTTTGAAACAGTAGACTTGGGATATGGAGCTTGAATTGTATATATTTAGGATCTATGAATAGCATTAGCAATATTAATGCACACTTTGGTCTGTATTATAAAAACAACAAGAACAAACATTATCTAGGGTCCAAAAGGCATTATAAAACATAGCAAGTTTAAAAAAAAGTAAGAAAAAAGTTTCAAGACATTTGAGTTGACTCAGTATTTTTTAAAAGCAAAAAAGTAATTTGCTTCCCTACGAAGACCAGATCTACATAGGAGGACAATGTTTCCTGTGGATAATTAGGAGTATATTAGGGTTTATATGTAGTTGCCAAATTCACTTTTTTGGTTTATTCATAGAAAATAGCTTTACTCACAGCCCGATCTCTCATTCAAATATACAACTTCAAACTCTCAGCTTCATTATGTTTTGTATCAACAGAGAATTTTGATGAAAAGACTGAATAAAGATGTTCATAAAATAAATGTTTTAGCGAAGAGATGGGCTAGATATGGCTAGAGTAAGAAATATCTGCTACACAACCAATGTACTCCACTGATGTCCTTATGATGTCAAGAGAAAGCAAGGAAAGTTTCAAGCTTCTTGGGTGGACTCTCTATGGCAAAGTTACAAAGGTACAGACAAGATGGTGGACAAATATGGATGAGTTGTGATTTGCATGATTGTAGGTAATAACAACATTGATGTATCATCAAACTATTTCAATAGTTTGAGTAGACCTGATTGAAGGGTTCAGATGAAAGTAATAGTGATAATGTCACCTGTGGTCTTTAGATGCTGCAGATCAGAGGTGTCAAACACACTGTCACAACACTCCCAAGTTGGGCCAGAATCAGATTAAAATGTCATTGGGAAACATTTAACAAAATAAATAAAAACTACAACAGAACATAGATAATTCCAAAATGTGTTTTTCTGAGTCAATGTGTAGCCCAATGGGATCTTTATGTACAATTTAGTGTGCTCTCTGCAGTAGAGTTTGAATGTTCAGTACCTTATCTTGCCGGGCAATCTTCAGAATCTTCCTAAGACAATTCAAGTAGAATTGGTTCGGTTTTCTGGCATGATGCTGATAGATTGTCCAGGTTTCACAGGCATACAACAGTGAAGTCAGCACAATGGCTTTATAGACCTTTAGTTTGTAACAGCTTAATAACTCTTCCCTTGCACACTTTCTTTCAGAGACTCCCAAATGCTAAGCTACCTCTAGCATTGTGTGCATCAACCTTATCATCTAGGTGGACGTCCCTGGAAAATATACTGCCAAGGTAAGTGAACTTATGCACAGCATTTCCTGTGACCACTGGTTCCACATGTAGGTGGTACAATCCTATCCCATAGGGGACCCTCATGTAGATTGCTGTTGAGTACATTTAAATGTCAGATTTGGGATTATTTCCTGATTTATTACTGAAAGTGAACAGCAGAGGTCCTTTCTTTATTTTTTAGAAAGGCTTTCTCTATTAACAGTTATCAAGAACGGTCATTTTCTTTAAAGATGAAGCTGTTGCCACATCTATCTAGGCATTTATCAGTTCACAATGGACAGTGTTGTCCATTCAGGATTATAGGGATTCATTAAACTCTGTTTTGTAGGATGCAGCTATCTATCTCCTAAAGTGAATGAATGAATCATTCATTGAATGAAAATTCAACATCTTTATATTAGACATAGTTTTAAACTCTGGCCCCAAACTTTAGGTCTGAATGCCTACTTGCAGTCAGGAAGACCATTACCATTTGATGAACAAAATGGAGATGAGAATGAAGTTGGTTGATCTTTATGATGACATTTAGTCCTATGGGTATTACTTGACAAAATATTCAGGATATTTCTTTTAAAGTATCTTTCCTCAAGATATCCATGATTAATGAATGCACGGTTTTCTTCCTTCCTATCTTTAAGTTTTAACCTGTTCTTGCTCTTAATAATTTTATTTTTATTTAGGATTTATGTCCTTTATATTTAAAAAATGAAAGATGTGAAGTGGTTTAACATATTGAACATAATTAAAAATAGAACACTTAGAAACAAGAACAGAACAGAGACCACCAAAAAAAAAGTGGAAAGCATAGATGCTATCAGGTACCTGAGATTACTGTGTTACTGTCACTGGACACTAAATTTAGAGCTAAATTTTCTGGCAAATGAGACCAAAATCTAAACCTTTTTTCATAGTTTACCTTTTCTAACAAAGAAAGGATGAAAATTAATATGCAAGGACAAACTTTTTTTCCTGAAAGTAAAAAAAAAAAGTAAAAATGTACTATGAGAGTTATTGTGTAAGGGGCATTGGGTTACATCACCAATTATATTGGTACAAAAGATAAAGGAATATTGCTCAAATGGATCATTCTTGTATCGACTCTGTAAAGGCATAGGACACAGTATTAAATTTAATGAAAACATTATTTCAGGGGACCTGAGATAATGTTCAGAGCTTTCTGATAGTCTTTCTAGAATCCAGATGAAGGCTGCCGTCAAGTAAAGTAGGGGCAGCTAGGTGGGATAGAATGCCAGGCCTAGAGTCAGGAAGACTCATCTTCCTGAGTTTAAATCTGGCTTTAGACACTTACTAGCTGTGTGACCCTGGGTAAGTTACTTCACTCTGTTTGCCTCAGTTCCTCATCTGCAAAATGAGTTGGAGAAGGAAATGACAAACAACTCCAGTATTTTTGCCAACAAAAAAACCCAACCCAAATAGGGTCACAAAGAGTCAAACCTGACTGAAATGACTGAACAATAACAACATCAAGTAAAGAGAGGGAGCTTTTCCTTTTACTGCAGATAAAAATGAAAACACTCTACATTAGCATAACTCTCTACAGTTTTTAAAGTGCTTTCATATTCAGTATTTCATTTGATCACAAGAGTAACCTTAGGAAGTATGTGGTGGTGGGGGGGTGAGGTGGAGGGGGAAGGAAGTTGTTTGCTGTTTAGTTATTTTCCAGTTGTGTCTAACTCTTCCTGACCCCTTTTGGGGTCTTTTTGAGAAAAGATATCAATAATTTACATATGAATGAAGGAAAGTGACCGCTTTTATGAAAACTTTTGTTGTTGTTCAGTCATATCCAGCAGTATTCAACTCTTTGTGACCCCATTGAGAGTTTCCTTGGCAAAGATACTGGAGTAGTTTGTCGTTTCCATCTCCAGCTCATTTTACAGATGAGGAAACTGAGGCAAACTGGGTTAAGTGACTTGCCTAGGGTCACACAGCTAGTAAGTGTCTGAAGTCAAATTTTAACTCGGGGAAATGAGTCTTCCTGACTTCAGACCTGGCACTCTGCCCACTGAGCCACCTATGAAAACTCGTTTTCCACCAAGCACTGCGCTAAGCCCACGGGATGCAAACTACAAAAGCAAACAAAATCCTGCCCTTAAGGAGCTAATAGCCTAAAGGTGGAGAGAACACATATGTTGAAGAAGGAAAGATACCAAGGGGCAGTGAGATGGTTGGGAAGCAGTTGGCAGAGGGAGCAGAAGAGAGGGAGTAAGTCAGCAAGCTCATCATTTCTTACTGCTCAGTAGTATTCCATCACAATCATATGCCTGTTCAGCCATTCCCCAATTGATGAGCATCCTTGCAATTTCCAGTTCTTTGCCACTACAAAGAGAGCTGCTATAAACATCTTAGAATGTATAGGTTCTTTTCCTTGAACATGAAATAACAAAGAGCAAAATGAGGAAAACCAAAAGAACATTGTATACAACAATATTTTTTTAAGAATAATTTTGAGCAAATAAGTCATTTTGAGTATTATAAATACCTAAATTAA